TTTATTTCTCAAATAAATCTGTTTTATTTGAAAAACAATTTTTTTTCCAAGAATTTTTAAATTGGGGCTGGAGCAATGGCATAGCAGGCAGAGCAATTTGCCTTGCACGTGGCCGACCCGGGGGGGGGGGGGTTGATTCCCAGCATCCCGTATGGTCCCCTGAGCACCGCCAGGAGTAATTCCTGAATGCATGAACCAGGAGTAACTCCTGTGCATCACCAGGTGTGACCCAAAAAGCAAAAAAAAAAAAAATTTTAATTAGGGGTTCGGTAGCTTGTTTATAATCCTGTGAGCAATGCCAGTGTGACAAGGTCGCAGTGTTACAGTTACAATACCACAGCCCACCATCAAAGCGGCCAAGACTCTCCACCCCAGTCCCTTTCCCGTCGCTCTTCATCCCTGACACCAATCCCCACCCCCCGACTCCTTAATCTGAGATTTTTGTTTCCATGCAGCGTGGACGGACCCTCGGGGTGTCGCACTGAGAGAAATAAGTCAGAGGGAGGAGGACGGGTCCTGCAGGCCCCCCCCTCACCCGCAGTGTGCAGAGAAGGGCAAGAAGGAGACGTATAGAGAACGTGTCGCATTGCCAAACCCTCTTCTGGTTTTTATTTTATAATTTAATTTATTGGCTTCTTGGGTCACACCTGGCGATGCCCAGGGGTTACTCCTGACTCTGCACTCAGGAATTACTCCTGGCGCTGCTTGGGCGGGACCATATGGGATGCGGGCGGGGTGGGGGGGGGCAAGGGAATCTGAACCCATTGGCTTCGTGCAAGGCAAACGCCCTCCCCTCTGGAGTATAGCTCCGCACCCCCCTTCTGTTTTAAAAGGCCTCGGTGATCACCCTCAGGTTCACCTGGATAATCCAGGATGATCTCTTTATCCTGAGATCAGCTGATTAGCAACCTTAACTCTGGCCGTAATTGAATCCCCTTTCAGCCCTCGTCAAGTAGCATATTCACAACGGGACCCAGGGAGAAGGGCAGAGCCGTTATCCTGCCCGCCACAGCAACATCTGCTGCTTGAAAAAATAAACAGCACTGTGTATAGCACTGTCCTCCCGTTGTTCATCGATTTGCTCAAGCGTGCGCCAGTAACGTCTCCATTGTGAGACCTGTTACTGTGTTTGGCATATCGGATATGCCACGTGGAGCTTGCCAGGCTCTGCCATGTGGGAGGGATACTCTTGGGAGCTTGCCGGGCTCTCCAAGAGGGGCGGAGGAATCGAACCTGGGTCAGCCGCGTCCGAGGCAAATGCCCTACCTGCTGTGCTATCACACCAGCCTCCCCCCCCCCCCCACCAAAATAAACAGAACAACAGAAAATCATGGTCCCGCCACAAAAAAAAAAACAACAGAAAACCAAAAACCCACATCATGCCAGTCGGCCACAAAACGAAAGTTCTGACATCACATGTTCCTTCTCTGAAAAACCTCAGGAGAAACTTATTCCTCCTGCTCCCTCAGGCCTCTCCGGTCACTTCTCTGGTGATCTCACAGGGCCTCGGAGGTTCACATGACACCCAGAGCCTGGCCGTGGTCACATTTGCACCTCAGCCCAACCCGACCTGACCCTCAGACGGAGGGGCACGGCTGCGGGTTCAGACGCCCTCTGGGTTTTTAGTGGAAACTAGAGCCCTGATTCTTCCTCAGATCCCCTCTCCTGAAAGGGCACCCCTACCACTGACTGCTCACGTGCCCCCCGTCTCACTGAGTAGGAACATTCAGCCTAGAATGAACGTTCTGACTGAATGTCCCCCTCTCCCCAGACTCTGGCCCTCTTCCTCCATCATCTGTGTTCTTCACATGATGAGTTCTGCCCCGAGTCGCCACCAACCCCCTACCCCCTGTCACACAGTAGTCAGGTTAGTAGGTTCTGTCCCACCCAGACCCCAGCCGCCGTGGCCTCCTCTCTTCTTTTTTTTTTTTTGTTTTTTTTTGGGGGGTCACACCTGGCAATGCTCAGGGGTTACTCCTGGCTCTCTACTCAGGAATTACTTCTGGAGGTGCTCGGGGACCATATGGGATGCTGGGAATCGAACCTGGGTTGGCCGCAAGCAAGGCAAACGCCCTACCCGCTGTGCTATCGCTCCAGCCCCTCCTCACTTCCTTTTGGTCTTATTCGTTCCGCTGCAGCAGGCTGACTTCTTTCTGCCTCAGTTGTCTGTGTCCCTCTGCCCTGGGTAGGTTATTTGCTTCTGGGCGAGGGGCAAGAAGTTGGCTTCTCTTGCAACCCCTGCTGTGTCCCCAGCTGGGCCCCTGCGCAGTACGTTGGAATTGCTCAGAGACTTGGTGGATGGCAGGCGATATGACCCCATTTTCTCTCAGTATGTGACCACTCATCTTTGAATCCAGCTTGGTCAGAGAGTAACGGATGGCCAGGGCAAAAGTTATTCGTTTAAAGGGCCTGTGGTAGGCTGAAGTGATGACGCAGCCATAGGGTTCAATCCCCTGAGCACCTCCAGGAGTGATCCCTGAGCACAGAGCCAGGAGGAAGCCCTGAGCACGGCTGGGGTGGGTCAGACTCCTCCCCTCCAACCCCCATCCCCACCAAAAGGGCCTGTGGTAAAATCTTTTCCCTGCACTGAGGTATTTAGTGGCAGATGTGAGGTGGAGTCATCTTCTCTGTGGCAAACTCAGAAGAGGATGATCTGGATTTGACAGAAAGTTCTTGATCCCAGGAAGTGCTTCCTCTGTCTCTGTGTAAGGCTTCTCCAGAGTGTCACTGAATCACTTCTCTGGAGGTATGCAGGGACAGAGGCCTATTTCCCTCTGGGCCAGGGAGCTGCCCTGGGAGTCTAAGGTGACTCATTGAAGTGAAGCCACCAAGTGGCCCTGCAGTAACTGTGACCAGCCACCCTCACTTCACTCCTAGTTTTCCCTTCTGTTCAGTAACATGTGTGCAACTGTCCATGAGTTCTCAGTGTAGGATAACATTGGTTTGTCCTTTCTGCCTTGCCACAGGGAGCTTAAGCTTATTGGGTTGCACCCATTCACAGTGCTCCTGAGGCACTCCCATTCCTCTGTGTTTATCTGTAACTTCTTTCTTTGTGCTCTGCTTCCCCAAACAGTCGATCACTTTGATCTCCTAATCAGACTCTGTTAACTTATAAATATTACTTTTCTCTTCTCCTTAAGTCCTTTGCAGAGTTGACTCAGAGTAAAGTTCTTTTTGTATAGACACAGGAAAACAGTAAATGCTATGCTTTTGTAACTTGGGAGTTAATTGACTCCGAATAATATTCACTCCTGGGCATCTGTTCTCTCGGCTTAAGCCTCAGTTGCCCTTACTTCCTAGCACCCCCAAAGCAGGTCCTAACGAGGGACTGGGTGGACCCAGGGCAAGCAGTGAGCTACCCTGGCATTGAACGGGCCAAGCCAAAGTGCCATAATACTTAACTATAAGTTAAGAGCATGGTCATAGACAGTTGGGGAGAAAAATGAAGGGACATCCTCGGGCATGATTGATAAGCTCCCAGGTGACAGAGGGTGGCAAGGGAAATAAGTCCAGGTCGGTTGCTCTGGTATCTGTTCGATGTGGCAGAGCGCCAGCCTCCCTGTTCCAGAGGATTCAGACAGGGGACCATATGGGATGCTGGGAATCAAACCTGGGTTGGCCGCGTGCAAGGCAAACACCCTACCCACTGTGCTATCACTCCAGCCCCAGTGACGTCTCCTTACTACGCACGTAGGCTCAAATTCCCCTTGTCTCCTCTCGGGCCCCTCTAGCGTCAGAATGACCTTGACCTCTCACCCCTGCTCCTGGTATCGTTCACTGAGAACACAGAGCTCATCACGTCACCATCACATCCCCAGGGAGGGCTTCTGTCGGGCTGGAGAGAGGGCACAGGAGAGCAGGTGCTTACCTGGCAGGCATCGCCCCGGTCTCATCCTCAGCACCGCAGAGGGTGCCCCAAGTTACGCCAGGGGTCATTCTTCACTGTGGTGGCAGAAATAGTTCCTAAGCATTGCCTGCAGTGACCCCAGACCCTCCCCTGACCAAGCCAAGCCCAAAGGGCTCCATCATTTTTCCACCGGGAGCAGGGCAGTTGTGTTCTGGTCCTTGGCCTCAGGGTCCACTCAGGGCCAGCCTCTTCCCATCTCTCTGGTGCCTGCTTCTGGCCTCGGTGGGGTGCCATGACTCCAGTTAGCAGGGCATCGCTAAGAGGGGCAGTCAGGCCTTGAAGCCTTTTCCCGGATTTTCAGTCGCTGCGTGATAGGGGATTCTGGTTGTTCCGCAGATGTGCTGTGGCCCAAGATTAGACGAGCCCAGTTCAGTGGTCAGTGCCACCTCTCAGTCCTTCCTCAGAAAACTTGGGAGAAAGGATTACTGGTGATAAAGATGGTTCTAAGAGCCCTAAAGAAGAGGCTGGAGCAGTAGTACAGTAGGTAGGGTGTTTGCCTTGCACGCCGCCAATTCGGGTTTGATTCCCAGCATCCCATATGGTCCCCTGAGCACCGCTAGGGATAATTCCTGAGTGCAGAGCCAGGAGTAACCCCTGAGCATTGCCAGGTGTGACCCAAAAAGCCAAAAAGAAAAAAACAAAGAAATAGATATGTTAAATCAAGAGATGTTTCCAGTGCCCAGGACACCAGAGTGTGTAAAAAGCCCGGTATGGTGGTGAGGTCGGGCGAGGATTCTGACCATGATTTTGTTGGTTTTTTTTTTTTTTTTTTTTATCTTTGAGCTTCACACTAAGGCCTGTTGGACCTAACGGGAGGGTCAGGATTTGGGGAAGGCCCACGGAAAGGAGAAAAGCAAAACAGGATGACCACCCTTCTCGTTACCCATCGTTGCCTGGAGCGTTTGCGGTCCAGTGGGATGAAACGTTTGCTGTTGGCCGCGCCTGCCCGGGCAGAGCAGGCGGCCCGGGCACTGACCTGGCTGGTCGCGGGGCCCTGCCAGCTGTCCGGCCAGCCGCGCCTGTCGTCTCCCTGGCCCCCGGGTTTCGTCCCCGTCGGGGCGCGCACACACACGCGTTTCTCTCGCCCCCGTAGGTGCAGATCCCAGGAGCGCGTGCGGCAGCATGAGCCTCCCGGGACTGCTGCACCGCCTGCCCCCGCGCTCGCTGAGCTGCTGTTGGCGACCCCCCTGCCGACCTCCCTGCCCGCGCCCCGCGAGTGGCCCCGACCCCCGCGGCGCCCGACGCTGGCTGTGCGCGCACCACGGCCTGCAGGAACTGCACGGGAGCCTCTCGGAGCAGGAGCGCAGGCTGGTGGAGAAGCTCTACACCGGCCTCATCGGGGGGCAGCGGGCCAGCCTGGCCGAGGCCATCACGCTGGTGGAGTCCACGCACAGCCGCAAGAAGGCCCTGGCCCAGGCGCTGCTGCAGAGGGTCCTGGAGCACCACCGAGAGCAGGAGCGGTTGAATCAAGGAAAGCCGCTAGCCTTCCGAGTGGGTGAGTGGGTCCTTTGGGTTGGGGTGGGTTGGGCTTTGGGAGGAGAGGGAGGTGGAGGGATGCTGGGGAGAGAGGCGTGTACATCAATCAATATTTTTCTAAATGTGCCCTTAAAAGTACATCTTGGGGGGTGGGGGCTGGAGCGATAGCACAGCGGGGAGGGCATTTGCATTGCATGCAGCAGGTCCGAACCCCAGCGTCCGGTATGGTCCCCTGAGCACCGCCAGGAGTGATTCCTGAGTGCAGAGTCAGGAATAACCCCTGAGCATCTCCGGGTGTGACCCAAAAAGCAAAATAAATAAAGTTAAAAATACATCTTGGGGGGCTGGAGCAATAGCACAGCGGGTAGGACATTTGCCTTGCACACTGCCGACCCTGGTTCGATTCCTGGCATCCCATATGGTCCCCCGAGCACCCCCAGGAGTAATTCCTGAGTGCAGGAGTACCCCTGAGCATAGCCAGGTGTGACCTAAAAAGCAAAACAAAACAAAACAAAATACATCTTGGGGCTGGAGAGATAGCACAGCGGGTAGGGTGTTTTCCTGGCACCCAGCTGACCCAGTTCAATTCCCAGCATCCAATATGGTCCCCCGAGCACCTCCAGGAGTAATTCCTGAGTTCTTGAGCCAGGAGTAACCCCTGTGCATCGCCGCTTGTGACCCCAGAAGCAAAAAATAAATACTAATAAATAGGTCTATATAGTTTATAATCTGTTGGGCTATTTTCTAAAATATCTTCAGACTTTGGAGATGAACTGTGTAGCGGGTGTGTTTGGTCTGGGTTTCGGTCCACCCACAGCAGAGCTCAGGGCTTATTCCTGGTGCTGCATTTAGGGATCACTCCCAGCAGGCTTGGGGGAACCACACGGGATGCTGTGGGTTGAACCCAGATTGGCTGTGTGCTAGGTAGGTGCCCTACCCACTGTACTAACTCTCTGGCCCCAGAGATGGATTTTAAATATCTTTTAACCTTGGGTAGAAAGTAATTGCTCTGAGCATTTATTTGAACCAAGGCTTGTGTATTTGAAGAGAAGAATGTAGAATTTGTGTTTTGGGCATGAATCCTGCCAGGGTTCTCAGAATAGAAGCGTGCATAGAACTAGTAACCAGCTGACTCATTTTTCTCAGTCATATTCTTAGTTGGGTTGCCAGTTGTTGAGGATCTGTCAGCTCTCGTTATTTTTGCCTGATTCCAAACTTCTGCTTGGGGCTGGAGTGATAGTAGACAGTGGGGTACTTGCTTTGCATGTGGCCCACCCCATTGGAGCCCCCCCCCCCCAGGAGTGATCCCTGAGTGCAGAGCCAGAGGGACGCCTTGAATACTGCCGTCAGGTGTGACTCCTCCCCCTCACTAACCCCCCATAAAAAATTTTTCTATTTCTGCTATCTTCCTTAGTGCTTTCCAAGGCAAATCACACATTTTTTCAGATGTTGTTTGCTAGACTTTCTGGGGGTGGCTGGACTCTAAGCCCAGGCATCTCAATATAAAAGGTATTTTATCTTTTTGTTTGTTTCTTTGTTTTTCTGGAGAGGGGGGCGGCTCCCAAGAAGTTTTCAGTGCGTAAGGAGGTCACTCCCAGTGATTCTGGGCTGGTCACTTACAGCTGGGCCTAAGGATATGATGCAGCTTGGGGCCCATGAGGTTCTGGGGACAGAACTGGCATCAGATACATGCAAGGCAAGTCTTACCCCTATACTATCTCTCTACTTCTCACCCTCACCTCTCTCCACCTCCCCACTCTGAAAAAAAAAAACCTGGCATTTTATAGAGAGACCATTTCATTCATACTACTAGATGCTCACTTGATTTTTATTTTGGAATTTTCCCTATTTCTGTAATTGCAAATCAGCAGGTTATGTTTTTGATCTTGTGCATTCTTCTAAAACAACTTACATGTGCGTAGCTGTGTGCGACCAGCAGGAATTCCGCAAGTGCATTTTGGCCGGAAGGAGAGCCGTTCACGGTGGCCGATTAGGTCATTCCAATCACTCTCCCCTGAAAAACAGCTTGAAACAGTGACAGAGCGCAGAGATTTCATAAGGAATGAGTAAATACACTTCACAAGTGACTCAGTATTACCTTCGCCTTGGATATCCATTAGTATCGTGGAGACCAAAACCCCCTGGGTTTTAGAGTAACAGGATATAAATGCTTTCAAGATAATTCCCCCAAATCACCCACCAGCTGATGTGTATGTTTTTCACCCATCTTCCTCTTCTGCCCTCGCCGGGGGACTGTTCATTCGGAGAGCGCGACACCGGGTGTTAATAATCTTTATGTTCTGTAGACAGACAAAATAGCAGGCTCCACAGAGAAATTCCAGTTATGATCAAGTATTTACTTATTAGGCTCCAGAGAATCTTTTGATGAGGAAACGTTCCAGAAACGTCTGGAGTTCATTAGGCAGCTCACCCATAGCTCACAAACGTGTGGCATGAGGCTGGTCCACTCGTCCTGACCCCAGGAGGCCCAGCTGAGCTGGACCTTCCGTGAGCTGGACACGTAGCTGTGTGGAAAAGTGTGTGCCCCGATGGATGAGGTTCTGGGTTCAATTCCTGGCTCCTAACACTGAACCTGTGTCTGTTGTGGTCATTTTTGTTTTTTTGTTTTGGGGGGTTTTTGTTGTTGTTGTTGTTGTTGTTTTTATCACACCCATCAATAAAAACCAACACGTTTGTTCAGCAACCATTCAGATGTTTAAGGCGGGTCCACCCTGCAAGGCACAGCAGGGAGTCAAGCGTGTGCTAGCCCAAGCCTTTGAATTTAGTTACAACGAAGTGCCTGTGTTTTATATGCCTTATTGATCAGATACTTCATATATTCTTTCCTATGCCTTGCTCAGTTCTAAAAATAGTGCAGATATTAACTCAGCCTTACAACTACATGACGAGCTCAGAACTGTTCCCATGCTCCATTGCACAGCACGCTCAGGTACAGAATGGCTAAGTGACTCGCCCGGGATGCCACGCGTGGTACGAGGCAGAGCTTGAAATAGATGCTTGCCTGCCAGTTCCGGACTCTGCTCTTCTCAAGCAAGCCTTCCAGAATTTTTCAAGGAGGGGAATTTTCTTCCTTAAGACACTTTTTTTCCTCCCATCTCCCGTCTCAGGATTCGCTTTATATTCGAGTTCTGTGTGAGTTGGAGGGGAAAAGGTTTTCATTTATGCTTCATAAATGGAAAGTGATTTTCTCAGTCACTGAGAACTTCTAGACTTAGGAGTTGCTGTTGCAACGGGAAGAGAAACGTTACAGGGGCTGGAGTGATAGCACAGTGGTAGGCCTTGCATGCGGCCAACCCAGATTCCCAGCATCCCATATGGTCCCCCGAGCACCACCAGGAGTAATTCTTGAGTGTGGAGCCAGGAGTAACCCCATGTGCATCGCCGGATGTGACCCAAAAAGCAAAAAAAAAAAAAAAAAACCACCAACAACAAAAAACACGTTACAAAGTGGGTAGCATCCCAGCCCATCACACTGAGAGTGGGCAGAGGTAGAAATTCAGCACATAAACAGCGTCAGAAGCTGAAACTGGCCCCAAAGACCTCGCTTCCAGTGAGAGGGCAGAAGTAGGGACGGGAGAGAGGACAGGCACAGAGGCAGGAGCCCGAGCGCTGTTTGTCCCCAGAGGGTGTGGCTCTGAGTTCTGCTGGGTGCCACCACCCCCTGCCCCCCGGCACTGCAGAACCGACCATCAGCTTATCCTGGGGCTCTGGCTTTGAACCCTCTGGCCCTGGTGCCAAGGGTAGCTGAGATTGGCTCTCAGGCCCCCTGAGACCACGTGGGCAGCCCCCCACAAGTTCCAAAAGGCAAAAGCACATTTCATAACTTTTTCTTTCGGCTTTTGGGCCACACAGTCATGCTCAGGGGTGAGCCTTGGCGGTGCTCGGGGGACACTAAGAGGTGTCGGTGACCGGGTCCAGGGTGGGCTCTCTCCAGCCCTGCATCTCGCAGCTTGGAACAGGTCCTCAGAATCACTCCTACATCCCCAGTCCTTGGGAACTAGGTAAAGACCTGTCTCGGCTTTCCTGCCCTCCTTTTCCTCCCTATGAATGTGACTGTACGAATGGTGGTTTTCACAGACAGGGAGAGCGAGAGCTTAGCGAAACTCCTTCCGTGCTGACTTAGTAATAAGTTTGCGGGTCTTTTCAGGACTGTCGGGGCCCCCGGGGGCCGGGAAATCCACCTTCATAGAATACTTTGGGAAGATGCTCACGGAGCGTGGCCACCGGCTGTCCGTGCTGGCTGTCGACCCCTCCTCGTGCACCAGTGGGGGTGAGTATCCCTGCAGCCCCCCATGCAGCGGGCAGTCGGCTCCCTGCCCCCCTTGAATGGGAACCTGCATGGCCACGTGGCTTCCGGCCTCTGGGCCTGCCCCATTGAAGGAAGGGGACGGGGTGAGGGGGCAGGTGGCACGAGGCGAAGGAGGTGCTTTGGGGCCCTGGAACCCGGGAATATGGTCCAGGTGTGGGTAGCCCAGGCTGGAGCAATAGTCCAGCCAGTAGGGCGTTTGCCTTGCATGCGGCCGACCCGGGTTCGATTCCTCTGTCCCACTCAGATAGCCCTACCGAGAGTATCCCACCCGCACGGCAGAGCCTGGCAAGCTCTCCATGGAGTATTCGATATGCCAAACACAGTAACAAGTCTCATAACGGAGACATTACTGGGCCCACTTGAGCAAATCGATGAACAACGGGAGGACAGTGACAGTGACAGTGGGTAGCCCAGGAGAGTGAGGACCCTTAGGGAGCAGGCGGGGACAGGGAGCAGCGGTTGAAGGTGATGAGAAGCCGACTCCAGCCCTTCGACTGTCAGGCCTAGGGGTGACCTTCCTGCTCTCTGCATCATCCCTGGCAACTTCCCTGTTCTTGAGGATCTGGCTTCCTTGTCAGCCGTGAGCCCAGGGCTCCTCGCCACTGCCTTCAGGCACGCTCTGCCAGCCGTCTCTGCGGTGGGCAGCCCTCCTGCCCCTTGAGGGGTGCTTAGCTGTACCCCTGGTCTCCATCCTCTTCCAAATGGCAGTCGCACTCTCCTCCCAGCAACCCATGAAAATCCAGACATCACCAAACCAACCGCCAACACAGCAGTCTCAAGACAGGTGGGGAGAAATCACAGCCTGGCTGAAAGCAGGGCTTGGGTCCCTGCCAGGGTCTCACAGGCGCTGACATGGGACACATGTGTCAGGTGTGTTCTCAGGCTGTAAGGCGAGGCTGCCATCTCGGTGGAGTTCCTGGCTGTGCAAAGCTGTTTCAGGCTCGGAGGGACTTGAACAATTCAGTTTATGAAGGGGCAGAGGGGTCTTCTTGATGGGGAAGAGCTCAGTCACTGGAACTGAGTCTGGAGCGGTGGGGAGAACTGGTGTCAGACCCCTCCCCTAGGGAACTGGCCAGGAGGTTGGGGTCCTGCCTGAGGAAAAGGTGCGAACCGTGCATTTCAGGGTCACTCCTGGGTGACAAGACGCGGATGACCGAGCTGTCCAGAGACATGAATGCCTACATCAGGCCATCCCCCACGAGCGGCACTCTGGGGGGCGTGACGCGCACCACCAACGAGGCTATCCTGCTATGTGAGGGCGGGGGCTACGACATCATCCTCATCGAGACTGTCGGTGAGTGGTGGCCTTCCCGTGTCAGAGCTGGAGAACACTCTCGCGGCGCCTGTGTTCCGGAGAGGCCGATTCTGCTCGTGTGGCAGGTGGTCACGAAAGGCGTCATGACATGCGAGAGATGGGGTCAGAATTTATTGGAGATCAGATGTCCTTCCACAGGAAGGCAAGTAGCTGCGAACCTTTAAGACAGGTGGTGTGTTGCAGGCGCCAAAGAGAACCTTAAGCAAGAGAAAAGCCCGTGGGAACGATAATGTCATAGGTGGTTTGAAATATTTCCAAACAGGAACCCAAGTCCAGTTTTGCTGAGGCACTTCTCACATGTCCGCAGTGCTCTGTAGGAAATTCATGTAGTCAGGTGCCTCTTGAGGACAACCATGTGGAATTTCCTCTTTATATTCCCAGCATAAAGTTAACACACAACAAAACTGCTGAAATGGAAACCCCAAGAAATTCACTTTTTTGTTGTTTTTGTTTGTCTGTTTAGGAAGCAGGGCTTTCTCCTGGCAGGGCTCAGGGAATGATACCGGGTCTTGGGAATCAGGCGGGATGTTGGGTCTCGGCTTCAGTGGCAGGGTTGGAAAGCGGGGTGAGCCCGGTGAGTGAGTGTGGCAGGACGGATCTGGCCCACGGACAGCAGGGCCACAGGGAAGGCTTCAGACCCCGTGGCCTCGTGGCCTCATCCTAACGCTGATGAGAAAAAGTCCCACCCAGCCAAGAGCAGAGCAGGCTGGTTCCACAAGCACCACCTTCTTGATTTCACTGTTTTGCTCAAAGTCCCTATTTCTAAGGACCTCTAGACGGGGTTGAGATTTGTGAGAAAGTGTGTGTGTGTGTGTGTGTGTGTGTGTGTATTTATGCCTGCACACGTGTGAGTATACGTGTGTGTATATATGCCTGCACATGTGTGAGTGTACGTGTGGGTGTATGTGTGTGTCCATGTGTGTCCATCATGTGTGTGCATGCACAGGTGTGTGGGTGCGTATGAGTGCAGAGATGTTTGCTCGTATGTGCGCACACGTCTGTGCACACGTGAGTGCATGGGTACGAGTGCACACTCGTGTGTGTGCATGTAGATGTGTGTGACCATGTGTGTGTGTGCATGGGCGCACGTGTGTGCGCGTGCACACGTTTGAGTGCATGAGTGCACGTGTGTATATGCATGGGCTCACGTGTGTGTACACGCATCTGAGTGCATGCACACGAGTGCATGCTCACACGTGTGTGTTTGCACGCACGCGCGTGTCTTTTTCGGCTTCTAGTTATGACCTTCCGTCCCAGGTGTGGGTCAGTCGGAGATCGCCGTGGCCGACATGGTTGACATGTTCGTCCTGCTGCTGCCACCCGCGGGAGGAGACGAGCTGCAGGTAACTGCTCTGGCCAGCTGGCCGCCCCCACACCTAGGCCGGGCCTGAGAACCCGTGTGCCCAGTGTTCTGGGTAAGAAGGGTCCACAGCAGTGGAGTCAGTAGCATCAGGATTGGCTGAGGCACATAAGGCCAGTGTCCTGCTGCCGCTGGCCACGCTGTGTCCTTGTCCTCGTGCTGCACTGGCCCCGGTGTGTCCAGAGACTGCCCGCCCTCTGGCAGGAATATTTCAGGTGGCTTTGGTACTCCCTCGACAGTGTGTGTCCTTCTTGTTAAGTCACTGCCATCCCCGGCCTCACTGAAAACTCCCGCCGAGAAGCTCAGCAACCGGCTCCCAGCCACGCCTTTAGCATAGCCGGGGCTCTGGTGTGTCTGAGGGTGCCAAAACGTCACTGCCCCCCGCTCCTCGCTTCCTCCTGTCTCCTCTCTCCTCCCCGCAGGGCATCAAGAGGGGCATCGTGGAGATGGCCGATCTGGTGGCCATCACCAAGTCCGACGGGGACTTGGTCGTGCCGGCTCGCAGGATCCAGGCCGAGTACGTGAGTGCCCTGAAACTGCTCCGCAAGCGCTCCCAGGTGTGGAGCCCCAAGGTTAGTCGACAGCCCCTTCCTGACGCCCTGCGCAGGACAGAGAACGGGTCTGGGAGGGGGACGGCAGCTACAGAAAAACAGTCGTGGCCCCAAGTGCGTCTTCGGTCGTCAGGACTTTAAATGCAGCTGTCCCAGGCATGAGGACCAGGGCGGGGCCCTTGGCTTCCCTCTTCCCCTACGCAGCCCTCTGGGGAGCCTCCCTCGCTTTGCTCTCCCCTGCTCTCTTGAGCTCCCACGCCCTCCCAGATGCCTGTGAAAGCATGCACATACACACACGAAATCAAGAGGAACTGCTGGGCTCTGGACTAGCCGAGCTTGTACGTGAGTTCCCACGGCCACAAACAGCTGGGTTGGTGCTTGCCGGGTCCACAACCCCCACCCCACCCCCCTGCCCGTTCCACACCCCCATCCCTACCCTATGCCCAGCATGAGTCTGGGGCCGGAGCCCGGGTTCAGTGATAGCGCACCAGCCAGACGAGTGTGCGTGGCCCTGGGCTGGAACCCCAGCGCTGCCAAATGACCTTTCCTTTTTTTTTTTTTTTTTTTTTTTTTTGCACGAGACCGACTGGATCGATCCACGTTCGATTCCTCACCCCTTTCTTGCCGTCCCCACAGGTGATCCGTATCTCGGCCCGCAGCGGGGAGGGCATCACGGAGATGTGGGACACGATGCAGGAGTTCCGGAGGCTGATGCTGGCCAGCGGCGAGCTGGCAGCCCGGCGGCAGCGGCAGCAGAAGGTGTGGATGTGGCGGCTCATCCAGGAGAGCGTGCTGGAGCACTTCCGCGCGCACGACGCCGTGCGCCGCCAGATCCCGCTCCTGGAGCAGCGGGTGCTCAGCGGCGCGCTGGCCCCCGGGCTGGCCGCCGACCTCCTGCTGAAAGCGTTCCAGAGCAGAGACTGAGGCCCCAAAGCGTTGCAGGGCAGAGACTGCGGCTCGGGTCCCCGGCCCGTAAAAGTATTAAAAGTCCCTCGGATGCGTCTGCTTTTCAAAGAGGCTCACCTGTGTCCTTGGCCTCCTTTCTCGCATCCCCGGCTCCAACGCGAGGAGGAGGCCGCGCCTGGCAGCGGCTGGACCGGCATGCGGGGGAACTGCCCGGACCCTCTGCTCCTGCTTCCCTTCCCTTCCGGTCAGGCCAGGCACGCTGAGGCTCGAATGTGCCTTAATTGTGCGTCCTTGGGGACCCGAGCCATAGTGCAGCAAGGGAAGGCGTTTGTTTTGCACACAGCCCACCCGGGTTCCGTTCCCAGCACCACCAGGAGTGATCCCTGAGCTCAGAGCCAGGGTAAGTCCTGAGCACTGCCGGTGTGGTGCAAAAACTTGTGATTTCCACATTCTCTGGGTTTTCCAGAGCAAACCTAAGCAGAGATGGACACATTTCCGAGGTGCTTCCTGGCGCCCGCGCAGTGCACAGTGGGCCCCCAGGAACAGAGCGGTTCGGCTGCCCCCTCACAGCACCTGCGGCTGGAGGGCGTCCCCGAGCATCCAGGTTCACCACACAGAGCCAATAGCGACGTGGTACAGGCTGTCGCTCTCCCGCCTCGAAAGAAACCCCACACAGAGCTGGAGGAATCTACTGCCGTTAATGTGGCCGGAGGCAGCCCAGCCAAGAGCCCCGGGAGATGAGAGTGATCCCAGCGACACCCCCCCTGGACTGTCGTGTCGGGGTTTTCTTTCTCTCTCCTCCTTTACTATGACTTTGTACTAGCATCTTCAGCATTGACTGTGTTCTGTAAGACACACTCAGAAGTCTTACTCTGTAAGGTGCTCTCAGAAGCCGCCTCCGGGGCTTTCTCAGTGGCAGTTCAGATCTCTTGGGTCCTGGGGCCCGAGGGGCAAGCCCCGGCCTTGCATACAGGTGACCCGGTTTAGATCACCTGTGCCACATACAGTCTCCTGTACCATATACGGTCACCTGAGCCTTGCCAGGAGGAATCCCTGGACACAGAACTAAGAGTAAGTCACTCCGCACGGCCAGAAGCAAAAAAAAAAAAAAAAAAGTTTTCAATGTGTTTTCTGAACTCAGGGCAGGTGTAGGTAGACTTTACATCTGGATCCCAAGATTATGAACTGTGTTCACTTGGACAGATTAAAAACCTCTCAGTGTCAGCCTCTACCCTAATAAAGTGGGGCCTGCATGCTAACTTTTGAGGTCCGGTGATGATTGAAAGAGACAGTTTGGGAGACTCACTCTGTTGGCAGTTATTTATTCAGTGTTTGTGTTGCGGGTGCAAGAACCTGTGAGACTCACTTGGTCTAGTCTTCTGGGGCCTGGCCACATTCATGCTCTGAGGGTATTTGATGATGTCGTTCCGTGATAATTCTTCAGATGCCTTTTATGCTTTGGATGGTGAATATACCCGGATACATTTGAGTAGTATTCCTAACCATAAAATTTCTGCAGTGCACAAAACACTGTCTCAGAAATTTCTAACATGCTCAATTCTGAACCCAACCCTAGGGAATTTTTTACTTGGTATATTAGCTTTCATTTTGACTGCCATTCCTATCTGGAATTGAATCTCAAATATTGTTTTAGCAAATATACCTTTATATTTAAAAAATAAGCCTACCTAGTGGCACAGTGCTTCGTGTGTGTGTGTGTGTGTGTGTGTGTGTGTGTGTGTGTGTATTTTTTCTTTTTGATTTTTCGGTCATATCCGGAAGTGCTCAGGGCTTCCTCCTGGCTCTGAACTCAGGGATCACTCCTGGTGGCCTCAGGAGACCATGTGGGGTGTCGGGGATCAAATCTTGGTCGGCTGCATGCAAGGCAAGTGCCCTACCCACTGTACTACCTCCCCAGCCCAGCTCTTTCATATTGAGGGTTAAGAGAAACTTGAAAAGGGTAAATCGATTCTCATCCTTCTAGGGCCTCCAGGGAACCATCCTATCCAATGAAAAACTTCTTTGTATTTTCCAGAGAAGGGGTCTTTCCCCCCTTCATGAGCCAGGACAGGCAGCAACAAGCCTGCCGTGTGTGATAGTGTAAATTGCAGTAGAACACATGTGCTTCCTTGTGAAGAAGGTGGAGAAATTGTGGCTTTTCTTAGCCCCTCCATGGTTGTGCATTTCTTTTCAGTTTGATTTTGATTTTTTTTAGGGGGGGGGCAGTGTTCAGGGGATACCCCTGGATCTGTTCTTAGGAGTCACTTCTGGCAGTCTTCAGGGACCAGGTGGTGCCAGGATGGAGCCCGGCCTCCTGCACACAATGGTGGGGCTCCCGCCCAAGGAGCGGGGTCTCCAGCTTCTCCTCGGAACCATTCGGTGTGAAAACAGACGCAGAAAGCACTCAGCTCCTTTGTCCTCTCCTGTTGTCATTAGACCCTTGATACGGAATTTCCAGATATCGTAGGATGACAGGAAAGCCATCTTTACTTGAAATCTGGATGAGTAGGTGACCCGAGGGCAGTTCGTTTGGTTTAGCCACTGCAGTCTCTTGATGGGATGAAAGCTCAGGTAAGTCAGCCAACCTACTCTGTGAGTAAGGCTTAGTGCTTAATCTCTGTCACGCATTGCTTTTCATTGAGATTTCCCTGGGGGTTGGTGGCGGTGGAGGGGAGGGTCCTTGGGAGTTCGGTGGACAGAAGCAGGCGCTCTGGCGTGGATGCAGTGTTAGAATGATGTGTGCGTGACAGTCTGATAAACTTCTCAGACACAGTACTGCAATAAAAATGGTGAAGAAAAACAGATAAATAATGGTGCTCTTCATTAAACAGGAAATCATGGGGCATCATAAAGCTCTCTAGAACATTCACCTGATTGAGGTGTGGACAGGAATCTCCAGATACCTTCAGATGACAATAAAGCCACTAGACTTATGTACCAAGTCTCATTAACATATGGAACCCATGGTGGGCAGAGCAATAGAGCGGTGGGGCGGGCCTTTGCCTTGCACGCAGCCAACCCAGGTTGATATCCCATATGGTCCCCCGAGTACCACCAGGAGTAACCCCTGAGCATCACCGGGTGTGACCCAAAAAGCCAAAAATGAAACAAAACACCACGGAACCCAGCTACTTCAGAGGTCAACTCTGCTCATGAGTCACCTTCACTTTTCTTCCTGACTCAGATTCTCATCGACCACACGGGATCTCAGTGCCCTGTAGAGTCCTCTCCCCAGCTGGGCTTCCCCTTCCCTCACACAGTGAGGCACACTCTGGGCCAAGACTCAGGAAGCTACTGTGGCCTCCTGAGTGTCTCCTGATGCTGGTCCTGTAAAAGGTTGTGCCGTTCAGATGGTCCCTAACTGAATTAACTTTTTAATTGAGCACCAAGATTGCAATCCTGTTCATGTTTTAGGCACACAGTGTCTCTACACCATGCCAGCACCAGTGTGCCAGTATTCCTCTACCACTGTCTCAGTCTCTTCCTGGCCCCATCTCCCCAGGGAACTCAGTCCCCGAGGCTGACCCGAAGAGTGTTATGGTTGGCCATTGTTGTTCACTTACTCTGTTCCTTCATATTCCACGTATGAATGAGGTCATTTGACTTTTGTTTCTGTCCCTCTAACTCACTGTTTTTAGTGTGATACCTTCTAGGTCTATCTAAACGACAATGACCTAGAAATGTTTCTCTTTGGGGGACTGGAGCAATAGTACAGCTGGGAAGGCACTTGCCTTGCATGCAGCTAACTCAGATCTGATTAATTTCTGACACCCCATATAGTTCCCCTAGCCTGCCAGAAGTGATTCCTAAGAGCAGAGCTAGGAGTAAGTCCTAAGAGCTGCCAGGTGTGGCCTTCCCCCCCCCCCCAAAAAAAAAGAGTTCCTCTTTTCTTATTCGGGGGGTGGGGTGTGTTGAGGTCACACTTAGAAGTGCTCAGGGACTTTATCTGACTCTGTGCTCAGGCGTGACTCCTGGCAGTGCTCAGGGGACCCCAGGTATGTTATCAGGAATGGAACCAGCCACATGCAAGGCAAATGCCTTAATGCCTACCCTCACTCTCCAGTTCAAGTTCCTCTTACTACTACAGCTGAGTAGTATTCCACTGTTACATACGCCACAGTTTCCTTACTTTCTCTTTTGTCACCAGCCACTTGAATCATTTACAGACCTTCGTTATTGTAAACAGTGCTGCAATAAACACAGATGTGTTCAAATATCTTTTTGAATGAATGTTTTTGTTCTATTGGGAACAGATGCCGAAGAGAGAAATTATGGGGTCATGAGGAAGTTCCAGTTTTGACTTCTTCGAGGTCTTCATTCTATTGTCCATAGAGGTTGAACTGGAAGCCAGTCATCCCCGCAGTGAGTGAGGGCTCCCTTTCCCACTTCCCTCCAGTGATATTCTGTCCAGTGCTGCTCAGGTCCAGCAATGTTGGAGGCTAGCTAGGTCAACCCCAGTGATGTTCAGGAAGCCTTGTGGGGCCAGAGATCAAACTCTGGTGCCTCTGAGTTCCACACATATACCCCAACCATTGAGCTACCCACCCTCTGATATACTATTCTGGGCCTTAATATTTTATGACTGTTGAGCTTGAGGGAACCACATGGGGTGCCAGGGATTCAACCTGGGTCAGCCACAGGCAAGGCAAGTGTCTTACCAGCTGTACTCCAGCCTCTTTCCTGACTGGTTTGTTGTTGTTTGTATTGGGTGTTTTGTTTGTTTTGTTTTTATACAATCACCAAAGATCTGTCTAGCCCTATTTTCAGACCCTTGCTTCTATATTAATTACGGTTTCTTAGCTCTGAGTTTCTAATTCCAAATAGAAGTATGATTGGCCTGTTAGTCTTCGACAACAGAGGTCACTGGGGGAAATTTACAGATGGACTGCTCAGGACCAGTATTTTTCAGCACATGGGATAAAGTCTTAATATGAGCCTTCTGATTCCTCAAGACTGTTGTGTAGGGCACCGTGGATAGGTAAGACAGGCTCCAAGGCTCCCTTCCACCACAACAAATTACGAAGAAGATGGTGAGTTTCCGTGGGAAAAAGTGAT